TCTGTGGATCCAAATGAGTTTCAGCAAAAATGTAGATGCCGCTGTCCCTCGTCCAGTACCATTCAAGTACCTGTCGACCGAAAGCGGTGACATTTCCAAAGCGCAGAACATTGTGATCCTGCTCAAGTCTTGCCCTCTTGATAGGACTTGGACGCAAAGGTGGCTCATAATCAGGCTCTTCCGGTGGTGGTAGTCCTTGAAGTACTTGTTGGGGAGTTTTGAAGCAATCGATGCTCACTGCCCAGACTTGAGTGATTTGGCTTGCCAGACTGGGTGTCAAGTTTGGCAGGTGAGTTGGCACTTTGCCATCATCTGCAAGCCACATGAGGTCGCGATAAATGAGGATGGCAAAGTAGTGCCCTTGCTGGTGAGATTGGCCTCTATGACAAATGAGCACTGCGGGCACAAACTCTGTGGACGTTCGTGCAAAGCCATCCAGTGATCTTGGCATGGTGAACGCGCCATAGGGATTGAAGGGCTTTTGATGTTTAGTCATCACCCCATCAATGCAAGTGTTGCGGGTGACGTGGCATATCAGGACCTTCTTGTCGTCCATCAAGTATTGGCCCATACCCTGGTTCGCCCAGTTGTTGATGAGCTGCTGCAGTGTCACATCATCTGGCCATTCGTCCGGGTAGGGCACCAGGATGGGTTGTTGGACATGATCCGTCAGGTAGCCTCCTTCCTTGATTTCCGCAAAACGGTAGTGAAAGGCTCTGCTCTGAGACAAAAGCCATAAAGAGTTGACGAAGTGGCTGGCATCTCCTTGAACGTTGAGATCATGTTGTTTCCAGAGATCTCGCAAGCCGGGCAAAGTTTGGAGATCAACCGGTTCAGCCGTGTCTATGGACTGTTGGACTGCCTCTTGAAGTGTCCCCCAAGGCTGAGTGCTAGTCTCTTGGAGAAGCGCACATACCCAAGTGAAGGCTCTCCAGGGTGCATTGGACAACCATGGTTAGGTTCTGCAAAATGCAGTCAGTGGCTGTGGCATAGTTCTGCATGCCAGTTGTCTTTTGTGTGGCGCTGTCAAAAGTGTCTTCTGTGGATGAGGCTCCGCCTAAGATGGAGATGAAATCTCGACCATGTGGCGCCCCGACAGCTGGCTCTAAATTCTCTGGAATTGGTGAGCCTTGAACGTCAAAATTGGTAAAACTGTGCTCATAACCACCTTGAGATGACTGTTCCCCGTCATAGGTAGTGTTGAGCGCCCCTGAGGTGTCTGTGTCAGCTTTAGCTTGTGCATTGTCCCCAGCACACATTGGAGCTGATATCCCATGATGCAGGTGTGAGCCTGAGGCAGCACGGCAATCCCATTGTGGTGATTGAAAGGCTTCCATTGGCTGAAGTGCGTCTGCAAAGGCGTTGATCTCTTCAAAAACGTGTTCATTGTTTGGACCTTCAAGCCCTTCACATGACATGATGTCATCGTCCGGAACCGGGAAAGTCCGCCCCTGAAAAAGCAAACTGTGGGTGTTACCCGCACTGTCCTGGAGTCGCATGCTGTGTGGCCTCAGTTTTCCTGCGCTTCGTCGAGTCTTCTGTGTCTTGGTTTGGCCGTTTCAAGAGGCCATGGAGCTGAGACTTTTGTTCCTCAGTCAAAGAAATGCCCAGGCTATGGACAAAGGATTCGACTGCCATAGGGATTTGCTCAGCCTCACCAGAAGCTGATGGCAGCTCGGCAGGTGCAGGTGTCTGATTGACCACTTTCATGCACTCTTCAGACAAGCTCTTGAGTGCCTGCTGACCTTCAGTGAGTTTAGCCTGAAGATCTTGCATATCCGTGAGGAGTGCTGTATACTGAGACTTGACCTGGTCGATCTTGGTTTGAAGTTGAGTTTTCTTCATTGAAAGATTCTTCAACTCCGTCACTCTGCCTTTGAGTTTGGCAGCTATCTCACGCTCAGTGCAAGGTTCCGGGGTGGTCAGTTTTGTGACCAGTTCTTGTACTGGTTGAGGAAGAGCCTCCATGTGAGTTTTCAGCACATCCTTGAGCTCCGGGGTTTCAGGCTTTGTTGGCCCTATGCCAATGGCCTGGAGTTTGGTCTGTGTCTCCTCATTCAATGTCGTCCAAGCCATGGGTAAAAGATCAGTAGCCTCTTGTTGGACCTTGGAGATCTTCAGTGGACGGACTTTTGAGAGCCCTGGTGGCGTTTCGAGCCATGTCTGGGGTCCTCTTTGGACTTTGTGGTTTGGCTTACCATAGCCCTTGCCTTTGCCTGTGCTGGTTGAGGCAGTGGTCCACATAGTTCCACAACGTCGGCATCGAGTGCCAGGATACATCTTGTCCTGCCAAATCCAGTTCGAACAAGTGGACTTGCTGCAAGGCACATAGTCTCTGCGCCAGGATGTCATTGCTCCGGATAAGGTCTTCTGCAGCCTTGATATACGCAGAGGTGATGGCACAGTGGGTGGCACCGAACACGATCAGGCCGGCCTGGAGTTCAGTAAAGAAGGTCCAGTCACCAGGTGATCGACAGTGAGATAGCCAAGCGAGACACTGCCACGCGCCGTAGAGGTCTGCAAAAGGGTCCAAGGTGAAGTCCAAGATCACGGGCAAAGAAATTTTGGTAGCGGAACTTGGAGATGGGCCGTGCTGGTTCAGGTTGTCCCGAACTATGAACTATGCTCGAAAGTGGGGTTCCGCACTAACCGGGCTTCGTGGGGAGCCGGCTTGAGCACTCATGAGCTTGAGCCATGTATGTATGTATGTATGTATGTATGTAAATTGCATATTTTTTGTTGAAAGAGCACTAGGACTCAGGACCAGGCCTTACCCCGATCGTTCGCCCACATCAAAGGAGAACTGTACTGTCCAGGAGCGTGCATTCTGTAGAGATTCTAAGGTTGATCACACAGAAGTCCCATGATCCTAGCCTACCCCCTAGGCAGGGAGGCAAGGGGGGTAGGCTAGGGTACCCTCACCCCTACAATAGGGGAGGTCCTAGGGCTAGGGTAGGCCCTATCAGGGGAGGTCCTAGGGCCTATCATGGGCCCTGACCCTAAGGGGGGCCCTATCATAGGAGGGTGGGGGGGTCGTAGGGCTAGGATAGGCCCTATCATACAGGGGGTGCTGGCTAGGATAGGCCCTATCATAGAGTCCTAGGGCTAGGATAGGCCCATCATAAGGGGGCTAAAAACGTCCAAACGATGCCGCAAGCTCAGATTTGGGTCAATAGCCTTGGCTGGGATTTCTTCAACTGAACTTCAACGACCAGTCGGTGGCTTGAGGACATTAAGCTCCGAGAGCCGGCTTCTACTGACGGCGCGGCCCCCACGGGCGTCGGCTTTAGGGGAGGCCCATTCGACAAAACTTCAATCGCGGAGCTAGAGAACCATCACACCATCCAGCGGGATCGTCTTGTCCAGCCGTGGCGTGAAAAAAACAGTTCCAAACCCATAGCTACACGACTCTGATCTTCCCCATAAAGTCTCATCCGTAGCAAACACCACCAAAAAAAGAACCGTCTGGCGCCTTGGAGCTTTTCAAGTTCCAGTACCAGTGAGCTAACGACTGAGCGCTGAGAGATGTCAACACTTCCATAGTTGGGAGATCGAGATCTCTCGTCCATGACCTGCATTGGCCTCGACCTAGTTACTTCTTCCGGTCGTCCAGCGATCGATCCGGATCGTTTCACGGACCAAAAGAACCCCGAAAACATACGCCAACCGCAGGAAACAAACAGTTAGTTACGAAGGAAACGGGTCAAATTGGATCCATCCCTTTTGTCAGGGCATCGGTTCTCTGAACCCACCTGCTGCCGACCCCACGATTTCGATCGCACCTCGGTCTTTCGGGCGCCATTTCTTGGCCATTTGGCCAATTCAGTGTAACTTGGGACACGGTTCTTTACATGTGTCCATACACATACGTCCGAAATGGGGAGTTCTCATCTACCATTCAGGATTGGACGAGAGTTCAAGTACAAGGTATTTCAGACCGAGAGGGGCGCCCAAAACGTCGACGTTTTGTGCGCCCCGCGCATGGCTTGCGGTCTAGCGGCGGACCCCGGCTTTGGACGGCGTGCTCAGGTCCGACGACGACGTCCCGCCCCACCGCTGCCCTGCGTGTCCCGCACCACATCCGCATGATCGTGGACGGGTTTTCTGTGCCATCCACCAGGAACGTTATGGCCCCCTGCCCGTCCAACCGACCGAGTTTCAATACCCAGCCGCCATCTCCCAAGAATGTTATTGCTCTACCCCCTTCCCACCACCCCACTCAATACCCAGGTGCCACGCTGCTGCGGTCAGTGCGCACTCAGGGGACGGCGAGGTACCCGCGAGAAAGTCGTCGGAGTCTGGCGTCCGACCCAACGTGCCTCGCACCCGCGTGGCGGAGCCTCGGTCGCAGAATGCTGCGGGGGTCTGAGGGAGGAGAAAGAGGGCGTCGAAGGCAAGCGAGGGACGCGCGCAACGACCCTTTGCACTTGAGCGGGCAGCCGCGCGAACGCGTCAGCCCTGTTTGTTTTGCCCCGCGCCGGTCGTCGCGAGTGATGGGAAAGACATGAAAAGACCAACGCTCCTTCCAAATTGGCAAGCGCGAAGAAGAGGAAGAGCAAGATCTCCCCATAGCCAACGCACAGAGACTCTGTTCCCGCGCAGCAAGGGCGCCAACTGCGCGGCCGCGAGGGAGTCCGCGTTGGCGTTGAGCAAGGCCCTGGCGTCGTCCGGGTCCCCTGCAGGGCCCAGGTTCGAAGGACCGGTGGGGCGGAGGGAAAGACGACGCGAAAACGACCCTGCGCCTGGGAGCGTCCGGCGCGATCACGAACGCAATGGAGGCCGAAGCGCGCGACCAGCGTGCGGGGGAACGGAAACTGCATGGCAAAGCGCAGGAGAGGCGTGTGGTATCCAAGAAAGGGTGGACAACGAAATCCTTCTAGGGCCTATGCTAGGCTACCCCTCGGGACTTCTATGCCGGGTTGATGGCAAACGGTCACGTTGTAAGGAGGTACCATGCCCGCAGCGTCATTCCAAGGACAATCCCACAAAAGAGATCAAAGGGCCATCTTCCCTTAACGTTCACAGTACTCATGTTTCGTCAATTTTGGGAAACAGCTCAAAAATCACGGCGACCATTTGCAACATTTTGCAACAATAGTTGTTTTAATTACTGCCTTGCATTTGGTGAAGCAGTTGTTTCTTGATGTGTTTTTTCTTTTTTGACTCCTGAATGTTTGGCGGGGTTCCTCGGAAAGCATTCGGTGCGGGCACCAGGCGGTCGAAAAAACGAACCGTATTCAACACATTCCAACCTGGCTGAAATGTTTCAGCAAAACATGTGTTTCGGAAACTTGACGTGTGTTTTTGGGGGTGGGCTTGCCTTCCAGAAGTGTTTTGGCTCAGCGGGTTCGTGGGGAATTTCTCCACTCGCTTTAGCTTTCCTGGAAGGCGCGCCCCGATTTGGAGGTCAGAACATTTGTGCCAGATGTGCATGCCCTTTAGATCAGTTTGATCATGTGATCCTGTGCGCCCCAAGGTTAGGGCATCCGTTGAGATTTTGCCGACGGCTTACAACTCAAAGGTGCTGAAAAAAGTGCTGAAAGATGCTGAAAGAGTATTTCATAACATCAAAGCCTGCAAGGTTGGTGCTACTAGTAACAATGGCATTACTACTTGTTACTAGTTGGAAGAAGCTGGTAGTGTGTGTTTCAGTTCCAATTTGAGGTGCTTGGTTTGCTTACGCCAATGCAGTACCTCAGCTTCAATGAGGCATGGGCTGCGAAGCTTCTCATGAAGAGGCTAGTTTGACCGTGGCATGGTAGCAGGCTGTGGGAGGAAAGGGCAAGATCAATAATTTGCCGGAGGTGCCAAGCACGCGACATGCGTTTTCAATTGAAAGCAGCAACTGTTTGTTGTGTTTTTTTGGTGGGGAGTTCAATGAACTGTTCTTGCAAGATGTACATGCCCGTGACCACTTTAATTCTCGTGGGTTTGCCTGGGAGGAAGACAGTGACACGCAGAAAGCCTTGCTGGAGCATTGTTGTGACGGCTTGTGGGGAGTTAGTGAACCAACGCTTCGCAGAATTTGCAGAGCAAATATGCGCATTGAATTCGCAGGATCCAATGCCTTTAAAAGATACTTGGGTTCTATGGGAGCAGGCCAAGAATTTGCAAGAAGAGAGCCAATCAACATCAGTGGATGTAGCGAGATGAGGACTAGGCAAGCATGTTTTGGGAGCGTACTATTTTAGCCCGCTTTGCCCTTTGCCCTTCTAATACGTTGCGCCTGCTTAATGAAGTATACTGTATAAGGGCGACTAGACTAAGCTTCTAGTACTCACGCACTAATGATTTGGCTCCTGGATTTTTGGGAAACTTAACAAACTGTAGTGTACTTGCTCAGCCTGCCGCATTGCTATGGTCAAGATGCCTTGGGCCTTGGCTGTTTTCCACTGTCCTTGACCAAAGGCATCCAAAGGCCAAATTCAAAAAAGCCATTCATCCAAGTTCAGCTTTGCAGTGTGCAGGCTGTTGCGGCAGAAGGACGAGGCGAAATCTCACCGAGCCCGCTTACACTGCGGCCAAAGACAACACCCTTGGAACCCAGCTGTTAAGTCCGTGATAGTCAGTGTACTCAATACTCAGTGGGTCTTTCATGCGGGGTGTTTGTTGCGCAAGAGCTTCCTTGGATTCAGGCAATAGCTACCATGAGTCCATGAAAGAGATAGTGGCCTTCAAAACTGCCCAGGACGCTAACTGCTTTCCACTTTGTCCTGTCATGGAACCCCTACAGGCCAGAAGATACGTAGAAATCGGAGGGAAGGCCAAGAGCGGGCTTGTCACCCCGCCAATTATACTATATACAAAGCTGGGAGAACTAGCGTTGTGAAACATATGAGGGGGCATGAAGATTGACCCTAGGATTAACACTGCAGCTCCTCAGGACTTCTGGAGCATTTGGAATGGGGCCAATGCCTTAGTTACATACGAAGCCTTCAACTCTGTGTTTGAATTCCTAGCACTCTTTGCCTGACTGTTTTTGATCATCACCCACTCTTGACGCAAGTGCATTTTTGACATGTCACGGCATGACATAGGGGCGACGTGGCAGTAAGACATGTTGGTTTTCCAGTTGTTGTTGCTTGCCTTACTTATCGTGAGTTTGCTTGCGTGATGATTGAAGCTTCAGGTGCCCCAGCCCAGTGAGCTCCTTGACAACAAACGCATCACAAGAGACAACGCGCCCTGGCTAAGTGCACTATGCTTGCTGCTTGAGGGCACACGCCCACTGTCACTGAACATTTGCAGAATCCGGTTGTGCACTCCTGATTGCTACTGCCGCCTTGAAGGGTATACATATGCCAGATATACGGTCAGAATATATGCGTATACAAATGCTATATATACTTTATGCAAATGTATGTACATGTTACATGTGTAATGTATACAGATATAATGTATACGTGTGTGTGTGTGCGTTTTGCTTTCAGAAATCCCCATTGCTGGCGCAATCAGTGTCCACACCGTTCACACTGTTTACAACGCTACAGCGTTACACCGTTAACCAGCGCATCCGGTATCCAGCGTAAACAGCATCCGTCACCAGCGTATCCAGCGTAACCAACGTGACCAGCGTAATCTAATCAGCGTAATGTAATCAGCGCAACCAGCGTATCCAGTTTAACCAACGTAACCAGCGTAAACAGCATAATCTAATCAGTGCGATGTAATCAGCGCAACCAGCGTAATTAGCGTATCCAGCGTAACCAGCGTAAACAGCATCAACGGCGTAATCAGTGCGGCAACCAGCGCGGCCAGCGTAATCAGCGTAACCAACGCGACCGCAGCCACCGCCAGCGTACCAGCGCACAATCATTCGCGGACACGCTTTGCCATGTCGCTCGAAATCGCTGCTGTACATTACATTGTCAATCAGCAATTTTTAATGCAGGGTGGTGGGTCCCAGACCGCAATCGACGCCATTATGCTCTTCAAACAGGGTGTCCAGGACTTGGCACTCGTTGTTCGACTTCCATAAACGGGTGGGTGCTATGCGGAGCAGCCTTGCTACCTGAGGTGAGGCCAGAATGGGAAGATCCGCTTAATGCAAGTGGTGGCCACTTCCAGGCCAAGCACGGTTGAACATGGCAAATCAAAAGTTTCCGGCTGTTTTTGTTGCAAAGGTGCAGCTGAAACCGGGGATTGGTGGAGCTCAGATAGACGAGTACTGGAACAACATAGTTCTAGGTATGGTGCGGGCCTTGTCTGCCAATCACCCCCTTCCAAGAAGCATGTGATTGGTTGAATTAATGTTGGAAGGCACAGGCGCACTCGTGAATTGTAGATCTAAGGTTGGTGGTACCATCGAGCCGTACGACGTCATAACGGGCGTGACTCACCTTCACAAGCGCGCCTCAAAAATTGTCAAATATCATTATAGGACGAAAAGCTCGTGAAAAACATTGCAAGGCACAGTTGATTTTCTGTGGGGCGCTGCGCCAAAGAAATGCAGTGGGATTGGAACCTCCGGTGGAATTGTCGATTCTCTTTTCATGGTGTTTGCCTACACAATGATGGTCGCCCATAGTGCCATAGTGATTTCATGTGGGATGTGTGCTCTTGACACACTGGAACAAGCTCTCAACTTGTCAATGACTTGCCACAGTCTTGTGCACATGCGCATGGAAAGAGCACCAGATCTGCTCGGTTCCACATATGTTGGCTTACAGCCCCAGAAGGTGTTTTGTAGGGACCCCCATCCAAAGACATCTTGGGGTCTGTAGAAGTGCCATGAAGTAGTGGATTCCATGCTGTTCGGGTGTAGAAGCGGCTTGGGGTGTTTGTGCCTTCAACCCCTGAAAGTTGCCCACCCAAATACCAGATCCCAGAAAAATAAAAAGATGTGCAAGTGCAACCCCAAGCCCAATCGGATACAACTTGCTTCATTATATGGCTGCAAAAGCCCTTTTTCCCGAGAGCGCCTGCGAAGGGTTCTTCGTAAAAAAACATCTGCAGAACTACACCTCATCTACATCTTCAGCAGAACTACACCTCATCTACATCTTCACATCTTCACCTCTGCACAATCACATTCTCACCTATATCTCTGCTCATGTTCACATCTACATTCACATCCTCACATCTACATCTCACATCTTTACCTCTCATCTACATCTCACATCTTCACCTCTCGCTCTTCTTAACTTTCTCTCTTAAGGCCGGGGGGCAGTGCCGCCGGACCGCCACGAAACGCAACCCTCTGCGGAGATCGCGCGTGTCGAATGCGCGAAATGCAGGCGAGAGGGCGATTTGGTTTTGTGCGGCGCAACCCTCTGCGGAGATCGTGCGTGTCGAGGGCGCGAAATGCAGGCGAGAGTGCGTTTTGGTCCGGT